CAAATTATACTAAACCTTTTGTGAGAACAAACAGTGGACATTTTGAAGTTCATTTACCAAGTTAGTTGAAACAAGCAAGATTGCAAGGTCAAAAACAACTCAAAGTAGTTAACTTAACTATGCAAGTAGTTAAAAGGTGAGCAATGTTGCTAGCCAGAAAAGTGCAGTTACAAAGCTTTATTTCTTTGTCAGTTAGGAAAGTTTTCACGGTAGCATAATGAACTTATATCTTACTGAAATCCAAATCTGTAAGGAATTCTACTAAATCAATGCTGACAAAACCTTTTCAATAATTTCATACCTTATGTATCATTTCGACGAACTGTTTTTTGAAAGTACCAAACCACAAATTGATAAAAAAACCTGAAGCAGTGAACGACAATAGCTCATTCCAGACCTAAACAGCAAAATAAATAACAGGCAAGATGTTTTAGTGCATGCAGCATGGCTTCTCAACGTGTTGTTAGTCTCATTTGTGGGAAGAAAAGAGAATGTTTCAAATAAAATTCATTGCAACAGTGCATGGTTGATTTTGACTTTAGTAGCTGAATGAAACTTTCATTTATAAAATTAAAATGCTTTCATTAATTATTTAGATTTGCAACTAAACAATACGTCAATTTTACAGGATATAAAAATACAAATTTCAAGTACATAAAGAATTCTACCATGCGCAGAAACAGGCTAACGTTTACTATACTTAACTTGGTCATAATGAAAAAATTTTACTAACCACACTTTAACAATTGAACAAATTCCCAAGGACTGCTTTCTTGATACTTACGTTCAAATCGTTTTTCCATGTATCTTCACCACAATCTTCAAGATTCTTGCGAAAAAATTGCGAGTGGACAAATTGCTTCACTGTGGAAATATGTTCATTGAAAGGTTCAAGCAACTTTTTCATTTCCTGTGGTTGTACATAAAGTTTGTCCGAACTTCTTCCATCGTCTTTTTTTCCACCTTCATTTTCTATATCTAATCCTGCCATTTGCAAATCAATAGCACTGGCTGTGCACTTGGCCAAACAACACAAAAACTTCACTTGATGCAATGGAAGATCATTTTTAACGTTCTTCGCAATTTTCTCCAGTGAAATTAACAATGAATTTGTTTCGTCAAACTTTACCTTGGGATAGTCCTTCGGGTTACTACACAGTTAACCAACAAAGTCAATCAAATCACAACGAAGTACTTGTGTCTTATATTTTTTACCAAGGCATATCAAGAAAGTTGACTTAGAGAAACGTAACGCAATTTTTTTTCAGTAGGCCAACTAGAGGGACAACTAGCTACGCTACTAGCACAATAACATAAATAAATAGTAAGGCCACTTCGTTGTATAACTTGGTGATGCATAATCATTTAGCTACATTACAGGTTGCGATTGCCTAGCTCAGCGTTCCTATTATAGTCCGGAGTATAAGACCTAGCATTGTTCAAATTCATAAAGAAAGTCTCAAATTCACTATTTTGCATTGGTTTATCAATGAAATTAAAATAGAGGTGAGACCCCAGCAAAATATCTTTTTGTTTCCGAGAAAATTATCAATAAATTTTGCCATATATTTTAATAGTAAAGGCACAGGGATCCCATTTCAAATAAAAAGAAAATCGACAAAACAATTTAGTTCTCATCGCATTTATATCCTCTTGGAAGTAAGTATTATTAAGCGATATATAATTCGTATAAATTGTCATTTATACCAGTAAATTTCACATACTTTCAATAAAAAAATGAGAAGAATATTTGGGATTTCTTGATTTATTGGTGTTATTAAATTTTTACAAGAGCATGAAAATGTTTAATAATGATATTGTATCACCTGTCGTCTTCACTGCAGTGTATTCTTTTGATTCATTTTCGAGATTATTGAATATTACTTACTTATTAATCTTGGTAACAGCTACCACCACATTTGCACAATGCTGTGCATGGAAGATTGACTTGGTACATTTGCACAAGCCCCTACATGCTTTCTTGCAACCACAGTGCACCAGTTCGTTGCACGCTTTGGAAGCCTCTGGAAGAGTGCTCCATGTAGGAATCCATCTGCCATTATTTTGCCATCCCCACTGCGAAGGAAGCGGTAACTGTTGAACTGAAACTAACGACTGACCCCAAACATGACCAGCCTGATATGTTGCCTCCGAATGTGCTGTACCAAGGAGGCTTGGGTTGGTGGAATGTGGTCGATTGTCTTAGTAATTGTGCAAATATAGCTTGTCTAGCATCATTGATGTTGGAGAGCGGCATGTGCGGAATACATAATAATGATAAATCTTTCAATTTTTTCCATTTCTTCTTCTGAGATGGATTCTTTGAGATGAAAGAAGCTGAAACACACTGGTAACATCAGGAAAAGACTTCCAGGCTTGAAATGCAGTCTTTTTACCTTTTCCAGCAAAGAACGACACAGCATCACAACCAGTGACAGCATGAAAGAAGGGTAGGGCTTCACATTGCTCCCTACCAACGAGCTTTGTGTAATGTTATGAATTGGTAAGTACCTCATGTTTACTAACACCAAAAGCAATCCAAAGTTCATCTACATCTAACTTGTGCACGTTTGCTATTGCTAACACAACAACATCTGTGTCTACAGTTCTTATGACAATTTTCCCTCATTCCACCTTTCGCTGCATGGTTTGCATGAATGAAAATGCGCGTATCGCCTCCTCGTGATTGCAGGAGCTAACTCATCTTTTCGATTGGCTTCGAACTTATTATGTCTTCCTCAAAAGTGCTTACAATTGTAACATTTGGCAGTTGAATCGATGTTGCTGCCTGACTGAGGTACTTGAAAGTTCTTGTTTGTTGTCATCTGATCTTAAAATGATTTCCAGTTTGCAGGGATCACAGCCATGTCACATACTCTTCTTCTTGCCCCTACAGCGCCTCGCGATGAACGAGTACCCTGCTTAAGGCTGTCGGGTATAACGGTCCCAAAACAAGATCTATTCTTCTAATACCATTTGCTTGTTGAACAATATAAGGAAACACTCGATTTGGAGTATTCTTGAAAGGTCTTACACTTCCTGGGCTAAGCATTTACAATAGCTGCGGCATCCAAGATTTTGACATCAACATTTGGACAGGTGGTTCGCACATCAGCTTCGAGACAATCAATCAATTCTGATTTCTGGCCACTTCGCATCTTGTCCCCTGATGATAATGAAGGAGGAGTACTCTGGTTTTCATGCTTAAAAAATTCTTGGAGATTCCCTTCTCTTGACTGACAAGCAATGTACAACCTTGCAAAAAGATTGCAGTCATTCTTTAATGTTGTGACTTGAAGTTTCGTCTTGTTGGTTGTCGTTGGTACTGATGTTCCAAAAGTGGAAGCTTATTGGGTGTTCAATTGTGCAGTTATTGGTGTGTTACACTTTTCAAGTCTCTCTTCGACGTACTTAGTGTATTGTGCTTCTCCGATCTTTCGAGCTGTATAAATCGACTCTATAACACACTCAGGCTCTATTTCTTTCGTATCTACGACAATCAGATCCTTGCTATTTCCATAAAGGGGTTTCCAAACCTAATGCAGCAGACATTGATTTTACATCTTTTGCAGTTCTTTGGACAGATGGTGTCTGTTCAGGTGAGTAATGTTCTTTGTAGAACACTGAACGCCAAGGAACACTCCAAACTCTCTTACCAGTCTTGCAATTTCAGGTCCTGCGATCATCCAACGTCTTAGGGCCGTTGGGCACGCTCGGTGAGGCCCACTGCCCACCATCACCTTTTATCATTTCGTTCTCTGCTGTGGTTTTGGTCAGGGACATCATAGAAAACGATGTTGGGACTTCTGAACCACAAATTTTCCATGTGCACTAAACTCTGTAAAAGAGTAGGATGCGTTTTCTAATCGTAAGAGATCTCTCACATGTACTGGCAATCATCTAGAGTAGTTAGACAAGTTCATCGCAAAACCAAGGAAGTACCTTCCAAACACTTGTAAGTAGACTTGAAGTTACCCTCTGGTAGCCTTAACAAACTGCAGTAGAAGAATTTCGAGGTCTAATACTGTCGTCCAGTATTTGAATTGCGGGCAAAGCTCACTTTGTTCTTTTATCCAAGCTTCATAACTTTTTGGGGGCTTGTCTTCACAACTTTCGATGTACTCCTGGTAAGCAATTTTCTGCATAAGGTAAATTGCACAGGCACTTACTTGGTGGACATAGCGAGATCTCGTCACGTGCGATCCTTTCAAAAACAGAATCCGCTCTTCCAATTTGTCATAACCTCAGCATGAATTAGAGCACTTCAAAGTAAAATATATGTTAGTTATTAGATTGAGATTATAAAACAACAAATCTACACCATACCTTGCCCACCACTGTTAGTTAACCAATGTCCAATCATCTTTAATATTGCCATCTCAATATGCAGTACAACCAATACCATGTACTTATCTTCACCAAATTCATTTTGTTGTTCCACTGTATTTGCTTAGCGAGTGCATAGAGTGGTTGGTCCATCGCTATGACAGGAGTTTGATTAGGTTTAAGAACTTAGTAAATTCTTTGACGGTTTTCATTGTACGCTTTATCATAGCCATAGTATGAGCATTGTCTTCAAAAAGTGGCAATAAAAGAGGTGATTACATTGGGCCTCAAAACCACGTTTTGCTCAGATGCAAAGTAAGGTGACCATGATAAGTAATCCTTTTCTTCAAGCTTTCTTTGAGTAAAAGTTCGTCGACCCTTTAGCCATTATTTCTCCTCTTCCTTGATGCTTTTATTTATCAGGTCTTGTTTAGTTTAAAAGAGCCAGTGACTTTGGGACAAAAGAGATCCTTTTACCTTCATCTGTGACAGGAGTTACAGTTGTATAGAATTCAGGTAAACTGTTGGACGACCTTGACTTTGTGGGAGTGTTATCCTGTGGCACTTGTTCTCGTTCTTCTCCTTGTGAGGCAAGAGAAGGATGTTGTGTAAGGAAATTGCTGTTTCATGAAATGAATTTTAGCGGTTCTTGAGGACGGATTGGATCGATATTGTCAACTTGGCCTGTAGTAAAGATATCTTTCTTAATTTGAGGACATACAACAC